GGGCACGGGCCTTAGAAAAATCTGTTAATACAGAGTGAAAGCCCGGCCTGAGCCTAGCCCAGCCCGGCCCATGAACAGGTCTAATCGGCGGATATGCATCGTATTAGTGGGTAACCAATACACTAGATAAGAAGGGTTGGGGAGTTTGGCCTATTTCAGGGGGTAGATGGGGTTAAGACCTACCCCGTGACCTATTTTTGATAAAAAGTAATAAAAATATAATGAGCACAAGGTTGAAAATACCAATACACCCCTTGTGCCGTATTAGGGTGTATCGATACTTTGAACCTTGTATGTAAGGACAGAGTTTTTACCTAGAGACACTTAATCAATGTCTTAAAAAGCATATGAACCTTAAGCCTTGAGGCTTAAATGAGGTGAGGGTTTGGGAAAAAATGAGCCTCAACCTAGGTTCATGCCTAAAATGTAATGAACATTCACCACACGAATTGGGATCTGCTCCTCACATAGAGCGCCTCACAATGACCTCACAGGCACATCCCACCGTGCATTGGGAACATCTCCCGTAAATAATAACACATAAGTACAGAAGATGTTCCCAATGCACGATAGGATGTATCTGTGAGGTCAGTGTGAGGCACCATGTGTGAGAAGCAGAKCCGGTCTCTCATCACACTATGGGATGCTTTACGTCGAGAATATGGTTTTCAGCATTAAATTAAGTAGGCTTTCATTACAATAATTGACTTTGAATTTCTRGGTTTGTAATTTTTATTTGGGTAAATGTTTTAAGGTTTTCAATATCTATTAGTTTGGTTGAGATTAAAAGCCACCCTTATTGCCAATAAGTATTTAAAAGAAAGCTCTTGTTCATATAATGAGCAATATATCCATATATTATTCTTATATAACATTCCACTCCTTGTTGCATAGTTCTACATTTTTTTCTCATTTCAGTTCATTTTTTTTTCTTGAAATAATGTGATATCAAGCCTTCATGCCTCAAGGCTTTTTTTTCTTTGTTTTTGATGACTTTCTCAAGGTTTACACCTTATACATTAGAAGATTCTAACATCTTACTTCACCCCTCAGCATTTTAAGAGATTGCAACTAATAGAATATTGGAATTTGTTCTGAAGTCTTTATTTCTTGTTTGTGTGTGTGTATATATCATCTCCTCTTCAGAGCTAAAGAACTTCACTTAATTTTGAAGCTTTGATATCATAATTTTTATTATTCTTGACTAATAGTTTTTAATTCTTGAATCGAAGGTTCTAATTACAGAAGTATGCATGGATTTATGCATTTCTATACAACTTAAAAGAGTMATAGCTAGCCATATAAATCTTGAATGTATGATCTTCGCATTATTAACAAGGTAATCAAACTAAATGAGTTCAAAAGTGAAACCATTAAATTGGTTACAGAGTATCAGGTAAGAATCTAAAGACAACAACTTACTAGATTCACCATGTCTATGTACTCCTCCAATTCCACCAGTAACAAACACAGGAATACCAACCTGCAGAAATTAGAAAATTACTAATAAAATTAATTTCTTGGAGACAAAAGGTCAAGGTGCAAGTGRATTTGATAAGGAAATGGGAATCCCAAGTACTTCAACTCTTTAAAACTTATAAGGATTAAGAATAATCTCATTGATAGAATAGTGATAAATGGGAAGACGGCAACTAATCAGGAGATAGT